CAGCCAGTGTTGTAGCTTGTTTATGTCGTCTTCGGCTTCGCTTATTTTTGTTTCGATTTCCGCATTCCAATCGCTGATTTCTTCAAGGTCGTCTTCTCTTTCGATTTTCGCTGCTTCTACAGCTCTTTTAAAATTGTCAGCTTCGCTTATAGTTGTTTTGAGTGCGTTCAGTTGTCGTTCGATAGTTTCTCGCTTTCCCGAATCTAATATTTTAGCTGTTCTTTGAGAAGATAACTTAAGTCGAGTTAATTTTATATTGAGTTTTGCTTCGTCGTTCGCCATGTTTGTATGGGACGCGTAATATCTCGTACGAAATTTTCACAATTTATCACAATAACAATCCTTCGTCGGTAGGTGCCACGTATTCCGAAAATTGACCTCCGTCCCAATGTTTTCGGAACACGAAGAGTAATCGCAATAACAACTTTGGTTTCTTAAACAATTTCCATTCTTACTCCTCAAAGTATCTCGCTTCTCCCCCTTTGTCTCGCCCCTCTCACTTACATTCTCTGCTCTCTCTACTTCCGTTCCACTCATGCTGTCTGCATTGTTCCCTATCGTCCCCGACGTACTCGAATGTACACCTATGTACACCAAACAGTACATACTTATGTTACTTGGCATCACACCACAATATCTTAAAGATCCACGCACACTAGTGGGTACAATAGGGAAGTTTTTTTCAAAATATTTCACATGCTGTTCGCAGAATGCCTTTCTATGCTGAGGCGACTCAGTGCATACATTGGGATAGTTCAGCAGTGGAATACCTTTTACAAAATTCTGAAAACAAATATTCATATAATATTATTAAATTAAGAAAAGCGGAGGAGTAATTTTATATCAAAATAAGATAAGTACCTTTCTACGCATCATACAATGAGGAAGCATTAATTTCCATTTTCCATCGGCAACCCAGAGCCTTCCACATCCTATAAGTTTGATTATGAAAATATCTTAGCCTAATGAGAATCACAGCTATTTTCCAATAGAATATATATATAGTTTCCAAACTAATTTTAAAATACAATTGCATCTACCTTATCGCGCTCTTTGGAAGTATCAGAACAATCATCTGATGCATGCTCGTACAAACTTCTCGCCCTAATTTTGTCTACTTTTTCAAGAATTCTAGAAGAGTCCCCATCTTCTTTAAGCAAACCAAAAAAGACCAGTTGCCCCAATTCCCTCAACTCACTCTCCATCTAGCAGACCCAAAATGAAACAGTAACTTGTTTCCCTCCAAAACCTTTACATAAAACGCAAACAATGCTTACCATCAAAAACTGTAACAACGTGATAACAGTAATACAGATCTACAACATATTGTTCTCTTACTGCCATTGTATACTTCAGAAAAACCGTTAAATGATACTAACGAATCTTTCGCATTACCGTATTTGGAATATCCATTAAGCAAATTACAGCGATTGCATCTAAGCGATACTTTCAATCCATCGGTAGTTCCAGAAAGATCGTGTACCTGAACTTTTACCGGCTGATTGTAGCTCACAAGATCATGGTTGTACTTAATACATTTGGAGCATGGAGGTGTAAATACATGCAACTTCCTATCCGTTGTGCAAGGAACTTTCAATTTAGAAGCGGACTATAAAAGAACATTTTCATCTTCTTCTTCTAAATTGGGACGTACCAAAGCCAACACTTCTTCACGTACATTCACGGGGAGTACAAGCAAAGAAGACGCAACATTGGCGGTAGAGCACACAAGAGACAACCCATATTTCAAAACAAGAACAAACAGAATTACATCAACATTTAGATCATTGCAGACTTTCAAATTAATAGATTGGATATCACTTAATATCTTCGACCCCACATATTCTTGATGTAGTTCCTCGTTGATATCTTTTCGCAAATCGTCAACGGATTGACAATTGCTACGCGTGCGCTTCGACATATTTTCAGCTTTTCCTATTCAGAAATGAGTTTCGGCTTTCCCCAGTGATCCAGTGAGAAATGACTTTTAGCTTTTCCCATTCAGAAATCATGGCAAATACAATTATTATGCTTATTGTGCAATCTCGATTGCAATTGGTTAAGAGCCTAGCTACACTGCTAGGCTAAGGTGACACATTATGTAATTGTTCATTAAAAATTGTAAATAAAAGTATAATGACAGACTGTTGTTCGACATTTGCAAGCGTTTTGCAAACTGTTTTCACTCGAATTATTGAGTATTAAGACGTAAAAATAAACGGAATGTGTTAAATTGTTAGTGAGGAGAGTTTTCATCAAGTATTTTCGGGAGAAAGACGAATGCGAACTGCAAACATTTTAGTCGAAGCACCAAAAATTTATGGCTTCCGTACAAAATAGTTTAAAAGCTTCTGCATTTATAAATGAGAGTGTGATCAGTGGCGTAGCTAGCGGTCCCGCTACTCCCGCCCTGCGGGAGTAGAAATTTCCCAAAAAAATAATAAATATTCTATTTGGACATAAGATATACATTATTTCACGAACAATTTGTAATATTATGTTTTATTCGTTCATATTTACGCTTTTATTAGGTGGTTCGTAATCGTAATACAGCAAAATCTCAAGATTTGTTATGTAACCTAGCAACCGCCTTTTCTCGCACATTGCATACTCGCGCGATTCTTCACGTATTCCGCCCATCTTCAGAGGGCGGAACATACAATATAATTCTATATAAAAAGTTTTGAATTCTGGTTGGCTAAGGGACTTGACGCATGCTCAAATCTGCTGTTTTTATAGTCGAACGCCCGCTATTTTAAATTGGCGGAGGTTGTAATTATTCGACCTTTTAATACGAGTACAGCGACTAGTGATTATCAAATTACGTGTCATTGTCGGCATTAATTTTCCATTGTGTTTACTCTCAAATTGCTATTTTGTATTTGTGTATGACACAATGGCTTCAAGTGCGACTGCGATTTGCTCAACTGATGTTTATTTAGTAAATAGCTTATTAGCTAAACCGTTCTCTGCTCGATCGTCGGTCGAACAGAATGTTATCGTTCATGAACGGCCTACTCCTGATTTAACTATCCAAAATAAGGAAGAGCATTTCAGAGAGATTGGTATGAGGCGAAGGACTGGCTGTGTGGCAGTACAACCTTGCAGAAAGTGTTTTGTTGGCCATGTCTAATGTTTTCCCCAAAACATCGCCATCGTGGACTAAGAATGGCTACAACGATATGCGGAGTATTATGTCTGATGCTAAGAAGCATGAAAAATCTAAATCGCATTTGACTGCATTTAAGACATGGAAAACGTATGGAGCTAGTGAACGAATTGATTGTCTTATGTCCCTCGCTAGAAGAAATGAGATTCAGCGTCACAATGAGGAGGTAAGACAAAATCGAGAAATTTTAAAAACTGTTACTGAGGCCGTGCTGTATTTGTCAAAGCAAGAGTTGCCATTTAGAGGTCACAATGAGTCCGAAGGTAGCTTGAACAAAGGTAATTATAGAGAGCTGCTCGAATGTTTTGCTAAGTTTGATTCTGTATTTGAGCGTCGACTGCACAGTAGACTAGCAGAATCTGGTATAGTTGGTGACAGAAGATTTACTGGAGTCTCCCCAGAAATTCAAAATGGTCTTATCAGCTGTCTTGATTCAATTATTGAAGATGAAATCAGAAAGGAAATAAATGATTGCACATTTATGAGTATTCAGGTTGATGAAGCATCTGCTTAAAGCGTCGTTTTCTTGCTTAAAAAGGGTAAAAAGCTATTTAAGAAATAGAATGGGTCAAGGTCGGCTTAGCTCTTTGTGTAGAATATCTATTCACAAAGATATCATTGAAAAGAAAGAGGAATCAGAGGTGTTGCATAACGAGGTGGTTGAAAAATTTGTAGAAAAACCCAGGAGGCTGGCCTTTCTTTATAAATGATGAGTATAGTATGTGTTTTGATATTTGTTCGTATAATACATGGTACTTCATTGAGAAAATTAAGCATAACTTTAAAGAATAAAGCCATCCCTGTCTGCTTGCCTCAATCTAAACAAGTTTAAACTAACAAGTAGAATGCTAAGAAAAATCTCTCTCTATGCACTTTAGAAGTGTCGTATACTATATTATTTTTTGTGCTAATACAAATTTCTTCTGTTTATGCAGGGGCAGTGATGAGTAAATTATGTTTTAGGGGACAATTGTCTCCTGCGTAACGTTTCTCTGAGCCACCTTTAGTACCTTTTTAACTAGTTGCAGTTTCAACGATTGCCACATTAAGAATGCAGCTAACAAAAATGGGTTTTTATAAATTATTGTACAACAAATAATTCGCCCTCGAAATCGCAGGAAATGCTGTTTCCAAGGCTCTGGATTTCAAAATTTTCCGGGGGACCATGCCCCCGGACCCCCCTAGTGGGGTCGCGCCTCCGGCGCGAGATGGATTGGCGGGAGTAACTATTTTTCCTAGCTACGCCACTGAGTGTGATAGTGTGATGTTGTGTGATGTATCACAATATTGCTAGCCAAAGTAGCAAAAAATATATCGCGCATCAGATGAATAAAAAGGCTCGTTCTGTTACTTATAGCTAAAGCGAAATTTTGACCACAGAATATATACTATACAGAAGGGCCACTCTTGTCGGAACCTTTGATGTTTTTGGGGCCGCGCATGCTGCTTCGCGCATCTCGGCCGCCATCTTCCTAGCCAGTCAATTTCTGACAAACAATATAAGGATTGTAAAGAGAAGTACAAATATTTGCCTGTATCTCTTCAATAAGGTTGTAGATTTGTTCCTAGCGAGAGTTTGACAAAATTTGAGATATATTCTATGTCTTTCTTTTTTTACAACTTAATTAAACGTGTTGTAAAGCTCGAAATCTTACATTTTGTTCTGTGACTGTGACCGCTCCTCAGCTTTGTAAACTGCAGTCAATAGAATTTTTCTTATTTTGCCTCGTTAATGACATTAAGTTTGAAATCTCTTGGAATTTTTTACTTACAGTGGTTTGGCACTTTGATGGAGTTTAGAAGTTCAGATGACCTGCATCATAATGTATTGAAAAAGCGTTGAATCTTGACAGTCACTTTCATTTGATTCATCCGAGGTGTATGCGGGTTCATTTATTTTCCTTCTAAAGGTGAGTCACTTTTACGTACTTTTTATCTTTTTTGAACTTGGCGGCTGATAGATTACGATTTGCAAACTTGATGGCATAGTAAATCCTCATTCTTAGAAAGAGTTTGAGGAGATAATCAATTGAAAAATGCGAGCACCGTTCAAATGGGATTGGAGCTTTTTGTAGCTGCTGAAGAATCTTTTTCAAAATACCTACTCTTTTTGTATAAGTGGAGAATTCTGTGACAAATATGTCTTCAATTTTGGTGATATATTCATAAAATGATACTTTTGGTGCAAGGAGAACGCCAAAGCTCTTGTCTGACTCATATGCCTTGAAGTAGCAAAGCAGATTTCTGCTATCATCAAGTTGGTCTGTGACCATAACTGACTCACATATGGAACACTTGTGCTTTTCAAAATATTTCTGGAGTAAGTATCCAGCTACATAAGCAATTGGATTCTCTTTCATTAAATTGTCACCAATCTCCTTTTCCTTGTAATCCCTTGTCTCAACATCGTCAGTTTTTGTGTTTTTAGATGGAGAAATCAAAACAGGAATGCTTTGAGTCAGCTTTGCAGAATTGTGCCAGTAAGTCATCAAAGTCATCATCACAGTTGCCTTGTGATGAATTTAAGAATGAACTAAAAAACAGCTTCCTGAAAGCACGGGTGAACTGGATGGAGGTTGGATTGTCGCTGTTGCCACCCTGCTGACGAATTGCTCCAAAAAAGTTCTCTATTGGGTCAGTATTCAATCTTCTTGTTAGAAGAAACTTGAGCCCATAATTTTGGTGAAGGTTATCCCAAATCTGACAAATCGCATTTATGGTAATTAGCCATCCATTGATGCACTTTACTCTGCCTGTTACATCTTGGCTGCCATGAAAAATCTTGAGATTAGATCGGAAGTGAATAGCTTGCTCATAAAAGTTGAGGTGTGGAGAGGTATTGGTCAATGCACATTTTAAAGACTTTTGTGAATATACTGTTGAAACGTTCACAGAATCAAACAGAGAATCAAACTTCAAAAGGCATTCTGCAGTGCCCATAGCTGATGACGGCAGACATCCAACACTTACATATGTGCATATGGATGCTGCTACTGTGTGGCTTAAGACTTGGGTAGCATGTTTCACCTTCATCTTTGCAAAGTTGTTTGGTGCAATGTGCTTATCAGTCAGTTTAGGTGCTGCTCTTATTGACAACTTTTTATCTTTATTGTGGAAATCCACAATATCCTGCCACTTGGCTGTGAACTGGTTGAACTTGAAAGTGTATTTCATCAAATTATTTCTAACACATTTGATCAGATGTGGTAGATCAAACATCAAATAAATCTTTCTTTTATTGTGCATAAACCAAGGACTCTCTGGACTGATGTTCAGGTGCTTAGCCAAACTTTGAAAATTGCTCCCCAAATCAGACATTACTACAATAACATTCAACCCAATTCTTTCAACTTTGTTAATTGCATCCTTCATCAGCTCTTCCATTTCTTTTGTAGGACATCCTCCATTTACCAATACATAACAAAGTGGTTGCTTCCATTTTCCCGAAATGCTTCTGAGCAAGAGGACAAGTGCTGAATTTGCCAGTTTATTCGTTCTTGTGCCACTTCCATAATCTTCAAGGCCAATTATTTTGTCATTGGCTATATCATAGAATAAGTTGGTTTTGAGAGATATCTCGTCCATACACAAATTATATAATTTCTCATTTTCTCTCATATGGTCCACTTTTTTCTTTATGATATTTAGTGCTCCCTGAGATATTCCAGTTGCAGCTGGCATCTTAGAGATTTATCTGCGCAATGATGTTTTGGAAGGAAGAATGAATAATTTCGAGAGCATACGATAGGCTCTTCCACTAGCATGATACAAGGACACAGCAATGGACTTCATCTGTGGTGAGCATCGTCTCCCTTTCTGTTTTCTTTCACAAAGCTTAATTTGCATTTGCACAAAATGAGCAAGGTTTTTAGGCAGCTTTTCCAATGCTTTTTCCAAATTTTTATGTGTTAATGGATTTTTCTTTGCATGCATAAAACGACTTATTTTCCTTGCTTGGGCTTTTATTAACTTTCGTTGTTTTTGTTTTCTAGGTGTATTATTGGATAGTATAGCACTTGTTTGGCAAGAAAAATCTGAAGTTTGGCTTTCTGTACTAGGCCCACTTTCATCAACTTCGTGCAATGGTGAATGTGTATCTGGTGGCTCTAAACATAAACTTAAGAGTAATAACAAATTCAAAGTGGTGACCAAAAGCTTGAGATGGAAAATAAAATGCAAAATGAATAACCTCTAGCTATAATTACATGTCACCAATACTAATGGTCAAGAATTAGAACTTAAATAGTTTCCCATGTATTTTTGGACACAACAATGAAATCATACAATAGAACTTCTCATGCCATCTTTCCTTTTTTCCTGATCTTTATCCAGAAGAAAGGTGGCGGCATAATTGCGTATGTAAATGAAAAAGTTATGGCTTCACGTCGAAGAGATTTGGAACTGGATGATCTTGAAACTCTCTGGCTTCAAATTTGTCCTCATAAATCAAAGAGACCGATTTTGATATCTGGTGTTTACCGTCCACCTTCAGCCAACAAAGATTATAATGAGAGTTTGGGTAAAAATATTGAAAATGCCCATCTCCAAAACAATGAATTGATTATTCTGGGAGACTTCAATTTAGATTATATTGATTTCAACTGTTATTCAAAACATTGTCTCGCAAGGGCACTGAACAGTCTTGGATTAACGCAGATGGTAAATAGAGTAACAAGACCTGCCTCTGATGCGTGCTTAGACCATATTTATTCTAGTCATCCTGCTAGAATTAGAGAAGTAGCCATAGGTAAATCTGGACTTTCCGATCACCTGCTGGTCACTATCTTGAGGTGCTACAAAACCATGGATGCACAACGTAAACAACATTCCAAAATCAAATACAGAAATATCGACAAAATCAACAAAGAGTGCTTTCTGCGAGACTTAAGAGAAGCCCTTGGGATATCTCCTTTGTTTTCAAGATGCCGATAGCATTGTTGAATCTTGGTACAAAATCTTTAATGACATTCTTGATAATCACGCACCTTTAAAGTTCAAGAGTGTGAAGAAAATCAATCAGCCGAAATGGTTCACTAATGATCTATACAACGAAATAAATAAACGCGATAATCTTCTAAAAAGGGCCAGGAGAACACAAAATGAACACGATTGGTCTGCTTTTAAACTGATTAAAAACAAAGTGACGAGGAAACTAAGAAATGCGAAGGAACAGTACTTTAAATCTCAGTTCAGTAAAAATCAAAAATGTCCAAAGAAACTTTGGTCTTTAACTAAAGACCTATCTAAAGATACAAGGAATAATGACGACTCCGTTCCTATTGCTGACGAAAACAACAACCTGATAAAGGATGACCATTCAATCGCTGAACGCTTTAACCGCTTCTTCGCTGATGTATATAAACGTCTCATAAAGGCGGCTCCTGTACTTCATTATGATGCTCTTCCTGGTCCTCCAGACAAATCTAACAGTCAAATTGAGAATCTTATTCCGCAAATAACTCCTAGTGAGGTTAACGATTATCTTCTAAGTATACCTACACACAAAGCCACGGGAATTGATGGGCTTGGTGCCAGAGTTCTAAGGATTGCAGCTCCTGAAATATCATGCTCCATAGCTAAAATTATAAATCACTGTATTGAAACTTGTACATTTCCCTCACAATGGAAAATAGCAAAGGTTAAACCACTACTCAAGAATCAAGGAAACAAGCAAGATATTCAAAACTATCGTCCTATTAGTATTTTGCCTATTCTTTCTAAAGTCTTTGAAAGACACATCCTCAATGCAATGAACACCTACTTAACAGAAAACGCACTTTTATACCGCTTCCAATCAGGATTCCGTAAAAACCACTCCACGGATACTGCTTTGTTGTTTCTTCTGGACCAAGTCCTTCTTGACCTTGATAAAAACAATGTCAGCGGCTTAGTTTTTGTGGACTATAGCAAGGCATTCGACTTGATCAATCATGACATTCTCCTAGTAAAGTTAAGATCATATGGATTTCCAGATAATGTTGTAAAGCTATTGCAGAGCTATCTACTCAATCGCAAACAGTGTGTCACTGTAAATAACTCGACTTCGTCACAACTTATGCTAACCAATGGAGTTCCTCAAGGTAGCATATTAGGACCTCTACTGTTTTTAATTTTCGTCAATGATCTTCCCGAAGCTGTTGGATCGGACTCAACTATTCATGCTTACGCGGATGACACCACATTTAAAGCCAGCGCTAATATCGATAATGCACCTTTGGAATTGGAACGACGTCTTCAAGAATACATGGATAAATGAAGTAAATGGTCTAGCAAAAATGGGATGGTCCTAAACGCTGTTAAAACCAAAGCATTACTTATCACTGGAAAGAGGCTGCATTCATCATTAGTTGATGGCAATCACCTGTCAGTGACCCTTGATGGGGCCGAAATAGAACAAGTAACCTCTTATAAATTGCTTGGTGTAACACTCGATCAAGATCTTACATTTAGTGACCACATTTCTAGCCTAAAGGCCAAGCTTTCTCAGCGTATTGGTTTATTAAAAAAGATAAAGAGATACCTTCCAATAAAAGAAAGACTTTTATACTATAACGCCTTGGTTAAACCCGTCCTTATGTACGGGAGCATGGTTTGGAATACCTGCGACGTTAAAGAACTCCACTGTCTCCTAAGGTTACAAAAAAGGGCTGCCCGAGTAATTCTTGGAGTAGACCCTTATTCTAGAAGTGTTGTAAACTTAAGTAAACTAGGCTGGTTGCCTTTTTTTGACGAAATAAAACTAAACAAATTTTCCATGATCTTTAAGAGCCTCAAATGCGATGTTCCCATTCATATCAAAGATTTGTTCAAGACGAACAGTTCTGCTCACATTAGGTCCACGAGACATGGCAATTTAAATTTAGTGTGTCCCAAATACCTAAGAAATAACGATGGTGGCAAGGCATTCAGTGTTAACGCAGTTAAGTTATGGAACAGCCTTCCCCATGATATTGAAAAAAATGCCAAGTATAAATCTATTCAAAACAGCTGTGAAAAAGCATTTTATAAGCTCATATAAAAACCTGGACAACTTTGAAACAATATTAAGCAATAGTACACTACCTAATTTTAATTTTAATTTTTTATAAATTAATTTTATCTTTCTGAATATTTTTAATATGCCCAGCTATTTTTATCATAGAATTTTGCAATTATTTATATATTTATTCATTATCAGTTTTTTTGTAATCCTGTATAATCTAGTTAGAGGGCCACAGGTTTGTCAGCTTTTCAGCTGTTACGTGTCCCCCTCTTCAAATAAAGTCCTTATTATTACTATTATTATTATTTTAGATTTTTTGGCTGTAAAATAAATTTGTTAAAATTTGTCTAATTTCATCTTGAAATTAGGTTTGGTGTTTACCTTGTATATGTGATTGGTCCACTCTTTTAATTGTTCTCCGTTTTGTGCCAACAGTGGGGGTGCATTTGGAATGCTAAATAGAGTGGGTTTTGCATCAGTCTTTAATCGAATTTTCAAAGCATTTGCAAACATCATATCTTCAAAATGATCAGTGCATAATCGACAATTTTTGTAAAGGTGGTTTGCATCCTTGTTCATAAGATACTCTCTTCTGCTGAGAATCACCCATTCCTTTGATCTGGAAAACAAATGACTAGGGTATGAAAAG